AAAATGTCCAAATGAGTGAAAACACAACAAACTAACTCAAAACCAGAAACAGCCATCAAAACAACCTAAAAGTGTTGAAAAAAGTTGAAACTACTGAATCCAACCAAGTCAGACCTCTCTAGATTGGAACAGCTCACTAAAAACTCATCCTTTTGACAGTAAGTAATATCCCATTCATACCGCAGTTCACCATCCCTCATTTGCCTCCTATTTCAGCCAGGCAACAATGTTATTTTTAATTCATACTAATTGCAAGCCTTAAGGACAAAATGGTTTTCGTTATGCAAGTGGAAAAAGTACAAAGGAGAGATACAGCCTGAAATAGCTTGGCACATGACCTGCCATTTAGAAATTAAAACCTGGATATAGGAACTTAAAAGTGCTGCCAGTAGCCTTGGCAATGTCACCTCAGAACAGAGAATAATTTAAATTTTTGTCCACTGTAAATATTCTTTTTTTCTAATGTATGCAGGCCTTGAGTGCAGAGTTTTTCCACATGCTAGCAGCTATTTGTGATTAAATACATTCAGAAGCTTTGAACAGCTCATTATCAATTACTTTTCCATACTCTATCTACACATTTGCAGTTACTCACAACTTCTGTTTTTTTCCCCTGTCCTTGTTTTTGCATTGTACTGAAAACTATTTAGCAGTTCCACCTAAGAAGTGAATCTGGGATTGACAAATCACAATTCAACTTTATCCATATTCAGAACTGAAAGTTAAGATTTGTGGTGAGTATTCACAGAGTGCAGCCTTACACAGGCTAAAGAGGAGAATTTTCAGTAAAAAATATATTTCACCAATAATCACAAAGGTTTCAAGTACTACCATTGAAACTGTGAAATCTAAAGCTCTGCAGACTCACAAATTATGTAAAATAAACCATCATTGCCCAAGCACAGGAAAAAAATGTGAATTCCTTTCAGAGCAGTCACAAAGTTAAGAATCTGTTATAAATTTCATTAACTATATGGTTGTTTACTTGAAAAAATTAATGCAACCAATTAAAAGATAACTATTTAAATTATCTCTGTGAGAGATCCAAGCAGACAGGATTGTGATTGCTAACTCCACAACAGAGACAGAAGTCTGTGGATCCTTTTAGTTCTCCACTCATTCAGCCTCTTTGACTAATTCCTGTCTCTGGCTGACAGGAAACAGAAATTTGGAATTTTACACCCTCTATCTTAGGGAACTACTCCAGCACTTGTGGTACAGCCCCAGCTCTGCTGCAGGAAGTACTCTGGTGGAAAGGTTTTCCCCTAAAAAGATAATTTGTAGCCACTGAAAATGTTGTATTCAATCTCATTTTGTCCCTCTTGTGTAGTCAAAACCCTTACTATGGTTTTCCTTTAAAGATGTTTCCTTCAGTGCCTGGTAAAGATTCAATCTCATGAGCAAATACACCCACGGCAGAAACCCCAAAAGGAACCTTACACAATACTCTATCTCTGTAACTTCCCGTTCCAAAGTAGTTTATTCCCCCATTTTCCTGTTTTGATGCCAGCACACAGGTAACTAAAGCATGACTGTAACATGAACTGCTTGGTTTCCCAAAAACGAAGCCACACTACAGGTACATATATGAGGAGGGGATTAGTTAATTGAAAAATGAGAGCAGTTTCCATTTGGATCAGATGGAAGGGCTAAAGAACACAAAGATCAGCTGCCAAAGGAGAAATCCTAACACTAAAACATTACCACAAATTCAGGTGATGAATAATGGAAAGAAGTGTTTGTTCAATTAAAAACTCCATGTGTTCAGGCATTAGTATCCCTAGGAAGTGTTGTTCAGTCAACTCAGGGTCAGAGAATTTGAATTTTACATTTTCATTTCTTACTCTATTTGTCTCAATTAAAATAAACCAGGTGAGCCTGTCAGTGCCTGTTGTTTCACATTTTTAACACTTAGCACTGCTTCAGCTATACCAAATATATCCTACTGTGGAAGTGGTGGCTTCCTAAGAATATTCCTCAAGAAGAATCAACTTTGTATGGCTGGCAAAATAGACTTTTGCACTGTGTTTAGTTGGTTAAGACTAAAGTAAAATCTAAAATTACCATAATAATTAGTATTTGCCATATATAATTGAATTTTTCTTTGCAATGAATTCATAACTTGAAATAATTCAGATAATTTTTGGCAAATCATTAAAAAGTCAAACTTCAGTTAACAATCATCCAATTATTTCCATATCATGCCCTAACAGAAATGAACCATTATGATTAAGTTCATAAAAGGTTCCTTGTCATGATTGTTTGCTCCTATGTGAAAAACCCCCACCACAAAGTCCTGATACAACCTGTATATATTATACACTTGTTAAATTTAGCACAAATCATATCTTGGGCTGACATTCAGAGAACACAGAGTATGAACATGCCACTTTTAATTGTTGTTTACCAGAATCCTGTGCAGCATTTCCTCCTTCTAACCTGAAACTTGGTGCTGGGGCTGGTGTAAATGAATTAGCAAAGCCAGCAGCTCATATCAGAGCCATTTCTGATCTGCACGGCCAAATTACTGGTTCTAATTAATTCATTATGCGATACAGAACAACACGTGAATGATGCTGCTATTTCAGGATTTTGAGGGGGAGATCTTGAAAAGTAGACTCAAATCAAAGACTGAGAGACTCTTTACATAATGAATTTAGAAAAGATTGCTATATTCCAGATTATCCCATTAAAAATGTACAGAACGCACAAATACCTGGGAATCTCTTGCAGTCAATGCCACTTTCCCCCCTACTGACTTCAGAAAACGAAGACAGTCCCAAATTACCGAAAAATTCCATATTAATATGCCTCTGAACTAACTGGAGACATTTGGGTATACACTTAACAGGTATGGATATTTTCAATCCAGTTGGGAACTCTTCTCAGACACTTTGGCTCTGAAAGAATGCTTTTAAAAGAAAATGCAATGGATAGGGAATACTGAGAGAGCCACAGACAAAGAGAGAGAAGAATAAATCTGACATATATTGAAATAATTGAAATGTTGCCAGTTAGGAAAGCAAGTAAATGAGATTTAGGCAGCTGAAAATAACCTATGATTTTTAACAGCAGCAGCAAAACTGATCAAAGACTGGTTTTATTCCCATTCTTGCTGCTTTGCAAAATGATGAGCAATGGCAATGACAGAATATCCTTCCTTATGCCACTTAATAGTTTGTGAATAGAGAGTCTGTATCTCCACAAATATCAAAACAAAAACTTTTTCTTTAAATTCTGTGACAGATAAGCCATATTTGCCATAAAGTGCTCATTCCCCACGGAGCCACAGGCTGGGGTATAAGAAGTTGGACACCATGTGTAACTAGGAAAAATATATTCAAGTATCAGCAAGTATTGCCCACCACCCAATTATTTTTCAGAACAGACTTCAAAATGCAAAATTATTATTCTGACTCTTCCTTTTCTTGCAGAAGAAAGAAATGGTTATCTCCTGAGTATGTCACATATTATGCCTGCACAAAGCACTGACAGAATGGTACAAAACACTTTCAAGACTCAGATTTGCAACTCCAGCAGGGGAATGGGAGGGACAAAAGGGCTTTGGGTTAGGGTTTGGGGGAAGGACCCAAAAGATATGAAAATTTTATAAATATAGATCAGGTCCTATCAGGCTAAGATAGAGTTGCTTCTACTCCTCCCCACCTAGTCCCCCACTCTCTGGTTCTCTGAAAAGAAGCTCAATGTAAATTTTAAAAATTTTCCTCTCAGACAGTTAATATTCAGGTATTTTTTAATTTAATGGGTACTAAAGAGTTTTCTCAGGATTTACTAATAAGCAACAACTCTTTTAAACTCTGAATTTGTTATTCATGTCTCAGCCAAGAAGCAAAGCCTCAAAATAGAACATTATGGCTGTCTGAAAGATGTCTATCAACACACACATCATGGTTCAGTTCACAACACTCAGTGACACTGAAAAAATCCCATTGTACAAATGCATTGCCAGCTGTTCAACACGAGCTCTGGCCACCCAGAACCGGAGGAACCCTTCCACTCATGGTTTACACACTGCAGAGTGAGAACTACTGGAATTAAATTGTTCCCTTTAGTTATGAAAGCTTCTCATGCAATTCAGCTTGCCTTGGGCATGACATTCACAAAGTAATGTAAGACAAATTTATTCTGAAAACTGTCAGGAAAAAAATAGCATAAAAATTTAGATTCAATGTAGAAGATTAAATGGACAACCACCTAGGAAAATTATTTCAAAACATGCAGAAGCTCTATTAGATTCGAATTTTCTAAAGTAGTAATTTGTAATTCTTGGGGCAAATAGGCAAGAATGTGCAAAAACTTGTGGCTTTGATTACTCCATTTCACTCTGGAGGTCCTGCTCAGCAGATCAGATGACCAACTGAATAAACTAGTGGAGTCATTGCACTGCAGAAAGCATTTCTGGTAGACTTTGGCTGCTCATGGACAGTTCTAGTGTATGACTCACTTGCAAAATGGACAGGAATTCATTCAGCATTAAAGTTTCAGAGAAAATCCTTATCCCATTAAGAGAGAAACCTTTCGACCTTATGTACAAAATTATGCTGGCTTCCAATAATGGCACTGTCAACATTGTATCTTTGCAATGAGTGTATTTTGATAATTAATGCCAGCAAGATCAGACAACAAAGTGAATTTCATTTTCTGATTACAGTGCACAGTGCCTTTAATGCTCTCTATTATCCAAGATTGCTGTGTAGCTTGCCTAACACCATCCAATCTGAGAAATTCTTGAGCAAAATAGCAGAGTCATTTTTGTAAAGGATGGGTACAGACTCTCTCTCCATAAAGCCAATGTTGAATTGCAGCAGACAGCCTCAGCAGCCACTGTGATATCATTGTTCACAACCATTACTACAGAAAAAAGCACCTTATTCACCAGTAATTTCAAAACTGTTATGGACAGTGGAAGAGAATATGACAGCATATGACTTCTCTTAAAAATTAAAAAAAAAAAGAAAAATTGAACAATGTTTTCTTACCATGACAGGATCCCTCCAGCTCTTCATATCCCACACTGCAGATGCATCGTCCCAGAGGCACCAGCCAATCCCCATCTGCCCCACAATACAATTTTGGGGTGTCACGTTCCTCAGCGCTCTTCACACAGGAGCCCCGTACTTCCACCAGCGAGGAAGAATCCACCCTTGGAATGGTGTCAGGAAACATGGCCAAATTACGGACTGTGAACGGGCATTTCTTATAATAGACACGGACTGACACCAAAGCAATGCACGCTCCAATGTCCTGGAAAGCAAGATAAAATCCCTTCTTGTTGATGGGCCCAACTTCACGAACTTCCGTGTTGAGCTTGAGGATGCGGTCACCCAAGTCCATCTGGGTAAAGCTCTCGTCAGCAGCTATGGTATCAATTTTGGTGTACTGGTTTGGCTTGAATTTTACTCCATGAGGCTCATCTGACTCCATGTAGTAGAGATTGAACGTTTCCTTGCAGGTCCCCAGCACCCAGGGAATGCTGTTGCAGTCCCTCAGGGTGAACTTCATCTCCACGTAGATTTTCTGCGCGGCGTCGCGGGAGACCCAGTTGGTTTGCAGCCAGTTGTTCTGGTTGGGTTCCATCACGTTGCACACCTGGTAAGTGTGGATGGGACGGTTGTGTTCGTCCATTTCAGTTATGGCATCCCACTGAAAAGAAAATAAAAATGTTTGCAAAACAGGAAAAATATGTATTATGCATCCACACACACACGTGCCCCATGTATATGCGACTACGGCTTAATTACGAATAATTACATCAAGTTTAGTGGAAAGCCAGTAGTTAAAAGAAGATAACTACAGAACATCACAGAAGTCTGATTTCAGAAACTACAATAAATTCCTATTTATAAAAACATTAAAAAATGACTGGAGCCTGGCAAAGAAGGACAATACAGGCCATGTTTATATTTTATAGATATACATCTCTACATATACCTTATATGAAAGGCTCACCAAATGATTATTATATAATCTGCTACTCCAAAAGATTACCAACATCCCAAAAATAGCTTCAGTATAACTGAATCAACTTTCTACTGAGCAGTCATGATATCCATAGATCACTAGAGATATTTTTTTATCAAAACACGGAACTATTTATAGTTCTGCATTCAAAAATAATGTATCCCACCAGACGTTTTAGCTTAGCTTTTAGATGTACTGATCCATTGGGGTAGAAGCAGCAGGATAAAACCTCAAAATAAGAACTAAAACCAACCAACATTAAAGTCACACTAAAAGGAAGATGAGATGCCCCAGAGAGGTCTCAAAAAGAAAAAAAGAACTAAAAAAACCACCAAACAACTCCAGCATACCAAACAGAATTAAAAAGTAGTTGGTTGTTTTAAAAAAAAAATAGTGCTGTTTATAAAATATAGAAGAGCTTTCCAAACTGGCATAGGCCAGCTTAATTTAAAAGCTTCAATATGATACCCACCTCTTAAAATTATTAAGGAAAAAATATCCAAAATATCCTCCTCTTACCAGGGAATTCTCCTCAGATATATTTATATGTTCACTCTGAATCAATATCTCAATTTGAACTAAGAAATTAAAGCCCTAAAGTTAGCTGTTAACCATGAAGTTAATAGTACAAATCTGTTACTTCTGTAGGAAAGTAAAGGCTCAGCACTTCAATAAGTGATTTCAAAGAATAAAACAAAATGGATTGATCAAACATGGACAGGGCTTTAGTCCACTCAAAGCAGATCTCTCATGCTTTGTGCCTGTGCCTTTCCACTGTGCTCCCAGATAGCCTGCTGAGATCTCCCATTTTAGAGGAATTTTCCTTTGGGCAAGAAAAATGTTTAAAATCTGCAAAAAATTTTAATAGAGATAGTAGTCTAAATATCATACATATAAAATACTTGGAAAAAGGTTAACTTTGGACATCTCAACCCAGCCATTGCACTGGGCCATGCAGTGAGGTATGGTTCCAGATACAGAATGTGCTCTTAGGTACCAGTCCTAGATACGGAGTGGAAACAAGGTGAGTTCCACCACCCCAAAATGTCACTTTCAGTGACCAAAAAGTCTGACAGAACTCACTCTGTGATAGTGGACACAGTCTCCCTGCATGAAATACAACCTACTTTTCATTTTGCCTTACAGTTGCATTTCTCATCTGATAAAAACAGTCAGGAAAGGCAGCAATTGAATTCAGTGCAGTCAACAAAAAATCCCAAAATTTATCAAACACACACAGGTATTCTTTTGGACGTATTTCACATTATACTTCTCATTTAATAAATTTTTTTCTCATTTTTAATCAAATTTAATTCTCATTAAATCAAGTTTAAGTTGTGCAAAACTTCAAAATCAGATGAACCAGAAGCATCTCACTGGTGATGTCTGCACAGGAATATGGTGACTCCCACAAAAATCCCTGACCTGACACCCACAAAAGCTGCCACGAGTTGTCTGGCTTAAACAAGCTGGCAAACTTCACCCATCCCAAGGTGCTGCTTTACCTTCAAAACTTTTTGATTACAGTTCTTTCAAATGATGAAAACCTCTGCTAAAGTTGATGGAAGCAGCAGCAGCATAAAGCTAATTCTCACACCTAGAGTTGCAGGACTTATGGAAAAGCATGTTAAAAGCATTATTTGGAGGGAAAACTTCAAAATTCTAGTTGAAAAATGGAATAAAAACCAGCATGGCTAAGTGCTTACATTTTACATGCAGCATGAAGGAGGAGTAAATCACTAAAATACAAGATCATAGAATTTGAAGATTGATAGAGAGAAGATTACAAGATTACTCATTACATCCAAATACAAAATATGAGATTAGGCTACAAACCACACTGGGATTTTATTTAGATAAAGTCTCAGCTGTTTCCATACCTCTATAAACTACTTTACTACCCCTCATTTTTAAATTTCATTAATATCTGAAAGATCTACAGAGAACACTGCTAAGAGAAAATCATGTAACTTGAAGCTATATAATACTGAAATCTCTTTTCATGGATTCCAATTTTTTAATTCTATTTTAAAACAAAACACTGGAAATTTAAGAAAAAACAGCAAGAACCTTTTAGTAGACATCACTACTGAAAGCTGTTCCAATAAATAAGGATAGATATATCAAGCAGTTGAAAAGATCTACTTCCTAATGAGCTGATATCAAGGTAAACTTCACATGTAGTGAAAGACACCTCTCCCACAAGCTGTCACACTGATTGATGGATTAATATTGGGTTCTTAATCTCAGATAAGTTATTGAGGCACTGAGCCCAGCAGCAGTTTGGTAACCTGGAATGGCAATTTTAGAATCCTGCACACCTCACGATTCTTTATTGATATTTTTCCTCATTTTAAGAAAAAAGAAGGGACATAGGCATAAGTAACCAATGCCCTCACTTACCAGTTTATGGAAGAAAACATCTTCTCTTAAAAATGAAGCAAAATTTGTATTCTAAGCAAGAAATCCTTATCATTTTACTCTCAGGATAATTCTATAAAGATGAAGGATTCTGCACCTGCACATTCCTAACCAGTGTATCTGAGCTCACCCCCGGACAGGAGAAGGTTGTGGCTGACTTCACATGAACACATTCAGGTATCAGGCACACAATGGCACACCTGGGTAAAATATTCTACACAAACCACTTGTTGAGCAAAACACTGGCTTTCCATGCAGAGAACTGAAGAAGTAGTGCCTGAAAATAACATGAGATGGGAAACTAGGGAGCAAAACCTGTTGATTTCAGCCATTCTGCGTTTTACTATCTGCTAAGAAGACACAACTGTTAAGGCAAATTCTCAGTGGTGATAAGTTTTATTCTTACCTGGCAACAAGGGGAAGGTTTCCATTCTAAACTGAGGAACAAATATATAAGGTTCATGCCAGAGAGATGTGGTTTACTCTCTTGGCTTCTGCGAGTGAGGTGATTTCAGAAATGGAACTGTCAGCTATTTCTTACACGCAAACATAGGCTGACATTTGAAAATTCAGTGAACCTGAACTGCAGAAATACAATTTTCTGACATACGTATCCCTCATTGCCCACAAACATCCACTTGAGAGAGTTCAGGTCACAGTTAAAAAGTCCATCCTATCAAAGGGATGGACTGTGTTTGTTGTACAGAACTGCTACTATCCTGAAAAAGTCTGAAGAAAGCTGCAAATGCATCCATGCAACTCATGTACCCCAAAAGAGTTAAATAAGCCTTTTCTTTCTTACCACATCCAATGAGGACAAAAAGAATGCATATAGTGTTTTTGTTGAATTGGTCTTTTTTTTCTACCCCACTAAATGGTTTACTACTTATTTAGGTCATCCCAGATCTCAGCTGGGAGTCATCTAATGAAATCTACACATATAGAACACACTCAGCTCTTCACTCCTGACAATCTTATAGATTCCCATTTCCATGGAAACAAGCAGAACAGTTAAAATAAAGAGAGTTTTAAAAGTTTTCCAAAATTCCCTTATGTTAATCTCCAGTGAGATGATGTTCACAGAATGAGATCAGAAAGGCCCAAATGAGGAAACACCAGAGGAGGACTTGCACTTGGCATGCAGCTGCCATCTGACAATGCACATTCACACACCTTGCTGCTGTAGTGACATTCAGGCAAAACCAGCTACACACTACATAACAGAACTGAAGAAAAAAAAACTTATCTCAAAGTAATGTGCTTAGGAAATGAACATTTCAAGGCGCAGTTGGCATTTATGATGACATTGAAAACAGCAAGACTAAAGAATATTTAAAAGAGCTGCAAAATTGCTCTAAGTTAAAGGTATCAAGGTAATATTTTTCCCCTTTCCCACTAACTCATTTTTCTTTGCCTTCATTTTTCCTAAGATCTACAGTTCTGTATGTGAAAACAGGTGCTCAGACCCCAAAGATGAGTGATAACATTGAACTCCCAAAATACACCTATTTGAAAAAAGCAGAAAACAGCAAAATTCCCCAGCTATTTGTTTATGTCTTAGCAAGTACAAGTTGACATAGCTGACAAAATAGAACAGCAACTGAACTACTTATGTTCTTACATTTAAAGCTGAGGTGGTTTAAAGTTGTTTAGGGAATGAATAGTGATATGTAGCACAATTTTATTAGCTCTATAGAACTAAAATGACAATCACAATGCAAGACTAGAGGAAATTGTGACATCTGTTTTCTATTCAGGCACAGAATATGAGAGTAAGAGGGCAAACCCCTCAAACTCTGTGGAAGTAAACATGATTAAAAGGAAATAAAATCAGAATTGAATAAATAAAGAATAGTTAGGGCAATATAAACAAGAGAACACAGGAGAGAAAGTTGTTAATGCACTCAAAATAGAAATGCAAAAGTGAGCTGCTTTTCTGTTATTTACATGAAGCACTGAACAACTGAGAGATGAGCTGCTCCAGGTGATCCAGCTCTGCTCTGAAAACTCTTCTGGTTCATACAAATGTTTTCTACAGGCAAGCAAGACCTGGATTTGGTGAGATTTGGGGGATGAACCCTGGAATTCAAGCGAGACCAGCTTCAGATACATGAAACAATTGACTCTCACTTGGGGATTAGCCAGCATAGGACTTTGGGATCAGCAGGCAAAATAAGACAGCCCTGCTCCAGCCTTGGAGAGTGAACCGGGACTGTTTCAGAAGGAAAGGGCATCAGAGGTCTTGAACAAAGAATTTTGTG